CACACACACACACACACACACACACACACACACACACACACACACACACACGGACAGGCAGCGTCAAAGTAACTGTCACAAACACCACCGACGGTTCACGGTTAACGGGATGCAGCCGCCGCGGCTCAGGCTCGGCTAACACCACCGTCCCCGTCCGCGGTAGCTTTAGCCTCCGCCGTCCCCAGCTGTAAGTTTGTTAGCTCTGACAGCTCCACTGGATCCAGCGCGCACACACACACACACGGGCAGAGGCTAGCAAGCTAATGCTAAGCGTGCAGCCAGCCCCCCTCGGACCCAGCATGGCTCCACGCGTGGCCCCCAAAGTTTGTTGTTGTTGTTGTTGTTGTTGTGGCCGCAGCTCGGTGTTTGTAAAGCGGCTGTTTTCTCTTCCTCCACTCGCACGCAGACTTGTCCCCGGACGACAGAGACGAAGAGCTCCACCGCCTCAGAGAAGCTGCTCAGCTCAGCCAACAAGGTGAGGAAGTTACAGGGGCAGAAGACTCAGGTCCGCGGGGACAGGCTGGAGCTGGGTGTTGTTGTGGTGGTGGTGGGACACATGCAGGATATTTATTTAGCTCCCACCCGTTTGAGTTATGAGCTTTGTCTGGATCACACTCCAGTATGCATCTTGTAGCCAGAGCTGGGATCATTGTTAGTTTGTTTTCTTCATTGATGTTTTATTAACTGCAAAAATTAATGATGGTTTCCAGTTGTTATCTTGTTATGAAGATAAAAAAAAGGGCAGAGCAGTCATATCAATAATTGCCAGGGTAAATATTTATTATTGTCGTTGGACAGGAGAAGATGTACTTTATTGTTCCCAGGGGGAAATTTGCTTTTGGCACTGTCCAGCCTGCAGTTTCACAAAAAATACAAATACAATCTCTGACACTACTCCATACACATGCCACATTTCACATATAAACACACACATCTGCTGACAATGACGACATATTGCACTGTGGCATATCGCACAGCCTTTTTATTTTACTTATGCCCAGCGTTATTTCTTTTAACTTTAAAGACAGATTTTAAGTCTGAAGACATGATAAGTCTAGAGCTTGATCCTGAGTGAAGGTTGTGGTTTTGAACTTTTCTTCATGGAGAGAGAATCAGTATTGACCTGGTGTTGCAGTACCTCCAGGAACGATGCCACAATGATGTTAGTTTGCGGCGATGATTGATTTTGTTCTATCCCCCGGCCCTATTTCAGATTCAGCTGAAGTAGACCAACAGTCCCTCAGAAAATTCAGCTAAGTACCGAAAGCAAACATAATATTAAATAATAGAATCACATAGTTTTGCATTCTTTACTTTCACTTTCAGTTAGAATATGACTGATAATTTCCAGTGAACACTGTTTCCTGTCTTCCAGCTGTAGACACCCATGCTCAGGCATAAGTGGCAAATGTCTTAAAATAACTAGAATTTATGACCATGGACCAACTGTCACCATAAATTCAGTCAAGCTGCGCCAAAGTGCACACAGTTGTGGTCTGCACCAAAATTTAAATGGTTGTTTCTTGGCCCTTGTATCATCCTTCCACCAAGTTTTGTGGAAATCAGTTCTTTAGTTTTTGCATAATCCTGCTGAAAAATCAACAAACCATTTGTTAAAAAGTCAGCTTCTCATTTAAACAGTCAGGCATTTAGACTGCTGTGTTTGTAAAGCCTGGCGCTGTGTGAAGTACATTTTCACTGCTTCTTTTTACTTTCAAGTTTAAAGTGATATCCCAGAGAGGATATGTGGTGTCATAATTATAATTTTTATTTAAGTGGTTCATTATCAGTGGAAGGAAACTAGAAGTGCTTGTTTTGGAGGATATGTTTGTTCATTTGCACATAATTAGAGTTAAAATGAGCTTTAGTTATGTATCCAGCTTGTCATATGTCTTATTCATTATGTATCATAGTTGCACTTGGGGTTCTTGATCAAAAATATTGCACATAATGCATCTAAGTACATATGGAGGAGGCTGCTCCAGTGCAGTGAGTGGGTGCTCACACCCTCCCCCAAAGCCGCCTCCCCTTGGGGACAGAGCCAGAGGAGTTCCTCCACAACTCAGCACGTATAAATACCCACAGGAACACGCGCTGCACGCTAACACGCTTGAGTCATCCCTGAAAGTTAGAGTGAGCGTGCTCCGGCCCTCGTAGGAACACACAGGCACGCATACAGAGCTGGGGAAACTCTTCTCACTGTCACTGGTTCAATTCCAGCCCTCGCCCCCCCAACGCACACACACACCCACTCACATGCCTCGTCTTCCTCTCTCACAGCAGAACACAGAACTGCAGCGGTGTTTCCAGAATTGCTGATCTGCTGGTAACGTGACACTCAGGCCTGCTGAGAGTGATACACACACACACACACAGCCTGATAAACCCACAGGTAAACACTTCTTAAAGGCTTTAACTGCTATATTATTTGAACGTAGCATAAACTAGTGCTACTACATGTTTTACTCTCTTGACGCCTCAATGCAGACACCAAGATCCCAGGTTGGCAGGAATCGTTGTGTGGTGCAGGTCATGATTGGTATCTATGTCTCTGTCTGTCTCACTCTCACATACGTATACACTCAGCAGAGATGATGACAACCGACAGCAACTTAGCCCGACATGAGTGGCAGCGGCTGTCATCATCCCACTCGAAATAGGCAGTGCTGCTATTAGTATTTTTACAACTCATGGTGATAAGTGAAAAGCTTCTGATATGTTCTGATCTTGATTCAGTGAATATCTGCACGTATATATTTCAGATGTGTATTATTATTTTAAACAGACAATCCACACGACGGTGTGTTGCCGAGGACACATATGCTGGGAGGATAAATGGAGGATAAGACGCAGCACACAGTGCAGGCGATGGTACAGTGCTGTTGGCAGCTTATGTGCCGTTCACTCCCGTGAGGATATGAAACATCTCTTGTTATCAAGCAGACTACTCAAAATTAGTCATTCAGTAAATGGGGTGCCGCTGTCTGCGTTAAAATGGTTGGAGCTAAAATTAGCCACATTACCATGTCAACCATCGACTACAGTTCAACAAAATCATATACTGCGATACTTGTCGTTCCAAATGGCTGTAGGGACTGTGAAAAATTGTGATATTTCACATTTAATTGAGCAATTAAGAAAATCAAGTATCATTTCAATCCAAAACTTGTTGACTGTCCTTTGACTTTGTGCACATGCGGAACAAAACAATTTACTTTTTTGCACAACAAGAGATAGCCTTGGTTTGGAATAGCGTGATCTCAAGCAGTTTTTGTTTTTGTGGGTGAGTGCAAAACCTTCGTGTCACGCGTGTCTGCATCTTCACAACCATAAACAATGAATTGGGTTTGTTGACGTACATGTGTATGGCTCAGCAATGGGTTTAACTCACAGCAAACTACAATGATTCACAGGATTCACAGGGTTTGATTGAAATTGCATCAAGACTGAAATGTTCATTTATTCGTCGGATGTAAGTGATTTGAGGAGTAGGTGTAAATTATAGTTCATTCCTAACATATCACAGCACTGGTTCACTTTCTCTTTGCAACATGCCGTCTTTACACCTACTGTTTTGAAATTTCAAAAAACATTTTGTGGGTCTACCCAAGGTCATGCTCTTTTAATGTGACCTGGAACTGTCTTTATACAAGATCCAAGAACCATTTTAAATTCTCAAAGTTTTCCTCAGATTTGTATTTAGGGCGTCTTTGTAATAAACAACAGATTGGTTCATTTCTAGTGGAGTTTTTTTTGCCTGGGTTCTGTGAGAGAAGCTTGCCGCCATTCGCTGATAAGCATGTTTACTCTTTCTGGTGTGTTTCTTCATAGAATAACTTCAGATGAAGCTGCTGCTGGGGCTCATGGCCTCCTCTGGAACTGTAGTGGCACAATAATTATCAAAGAGTGATACCTATCCCCAATAAATGTCCTAAACACCTCAACTGATAGTTGATATTGTGCCTTGGTAACTGTTGCATTTGTTACTTTGCACTGGATTGTCGCTGCTTCCAGACCCTTTTGTTTAAGTGTCTTTCCAAACTCATTCACCAATGGGAAGTCGATTTACTTGTAATGTAATCAGTGTCCAATGATGGATTGTTTAAGTGGCTCCAAACATGCTCATTCACCAGTGAGTGATTGTTTTTTTAGTTCATTTTCTGGCTTGTCAGTCATTTGGCAGACGCTGGCAGTTGGCTTCCAAACTTAAGGCTGCAGAAGTAGGCTACACACTTTGTTTTCACTTGACTTGGCAGATGCAGAGGAAATTACATTCTTGCCTTTTTTTCAGTTCTCCCACTAAAGTCATTTTCTGTTGCAGTAAACTTTCAGAATTTCTCATTTGCCAGCGAAATATTTCCCATCACATTTTTCCCTGATATGTTATGAAGAAAATGTGCTAATTTCCTCTAAGAGCGATGACAGGAAAGACACAAACTGTGGTGATGCCGCTCAGCTTTTTGAAATGAAACATTGGGAGTTTCCAATGTCTCCTTACAAAATTATTAATCCTTACTGCTTAAAAAACCTGTCAGCAGCTTTTCAAACTTACTGTAGCCGCACCTTTCCATTTGTGTCTGTATAATTATCACCACCCTGATCACACCGCTTTCAGGCATGTCACAAAGACAAACACTGCAGGAAAAGAAAAGCAGTTTTTCCTCAGCTAACATGAGAATCCGAGAGTTTGAACTGCGGCTTTCAAGAACTGATGGCCCCAGAAAGTGAGAAAGAAATGATCTCCTTTCATATTGACAAGGTGAACCTGGCAAACATCTTAAAGTTAACTACTTCTGTGCTGCAGCTCAGGAACTGAAAGCAAGACCTTTTTCTCTTTTGCAGTTTTAATCAGATTCAGTCGTATCAGCACCTTTTTTAGAAGTTGGGAAACCACCTTAAAAAAGGTATTGACTTCATTTCCATTGGCAGTCGAGGAGATTGTCTTTATGATTTTGAGTCACAACTCTTAAGTCATGAAATATACCCACCAGTAATTATGACAGGCTCAATAGGTTTTTGGCCTTGAAGACTTCATGTATGAGGATGAGACCACACACACACACACACAGACACATGCACGCATCACACACATGTTGTCTACGAAGATAAACAGTACATAATGTGGTACACATTGACCTTGAGTGACCTAGTAAATCATATATCTACCTTAAACACACACACACACTCTCATGGACAGGCATGAGCACTTGTCTCCTCTGATTTCTAAGCTCCCTAGCGATGCAAGGTCACAACGACACGCACCCGTACAGTGTCTGACACCCACAGATCCTCCTCATGAGCCTTCACACACATGCCACCTCCCCCTCAGTGAGTCTGGCTGAAGCCCTGTGTTAATAAGTGCTGTGATTTCTGTCGGCAGAGCTTGTTTGGGTGCAGGGAGATCAGGTTCTCAAAGCTTAGCCAAAGTGATAGTTGCTGATTTCTATCGGACATTGCTTGTTTGTGAGCACACTGTATAGCTTGTTTGTTTGAGAGGACATACCAATGTGACCAATAATAACTTTTTTCATTCTATTATAAGTAATCTATATCGCTTATTGTTGTAAGTGTTATGGGGTGTACGAGACCCTGGTAAAGGGAAACATCCCAGTTTTTCAGAAATGATAAGGTATTCATCTCTGATAATGTTCGACCTGTGTTTGTGTCTTTCTCCTGTTTCTCTTTTGTGTCTAAATTCCGGTCTCCTCTCTCTGTTTGTTTCAGAAATGTTCATCGACAGCCAGTTTCCAGCACTGGAGGATTTTACTCTTGTTGTGTGCCATGTCTGCAATAAGGTGGTCACTCCTCAGGGCATACTCACACACTATGGTAAGACACACACAGTCAGTCCTCAGGCACACACACACACACACACACACCTTGTGGTGTCTTCAGATGTGGCATAGAACAAACAGGGTAGCTCCCTTTTGATCAATACAATAAATTGTATCTATCCCTGAAAGGCACCTGAACTCCTTATTCTCCACATCAACATGCACAGCACGGTTATGCCCCCAAATACCCTGCAGGCTGACAACAGCTGAAAAACACTAAATAATTGACAAGATAATCGACTGGATGTAGCCTTGTTCTCAGGCCTTTTTATCCAGTAAGTGTGTGCTTTGAATACAGGATGATTTTTCTTTTTAAGCAGATCTTCTATTCAAAAACAAACTGATGGTCGGCTTAAAAAATGAAAATATACACCTGCATGTTAAAGGCACTAGATTTGACTCTTTTTCTCACTTGAAGATATAGTTTGCACCAATTGTTCAGGAAAATGACTAGACCTATGTTATATATGTTGTTGACTTGTGATATAGGGCTTTAGTTGCTTTTATATAGAAACCCCTAGTAACACAAGTTTGTTTAAAAGTCTCAAACACCTACACTGTTCAGATGTATATACTCTTTATACATGTTTGCTCACCATGATTTTGTAAATTGTGATGTGTTGCCATGGAGACTGTTGTCTTCAGCTCTAAAACTTAATGCTTTAATTTGAGATGTCCCTCAGCCGCACACTAAATGAGAAAATTCAGATGATCAATATTTTAGATTTTTGAAAAGGCACATGTTGGGACACAAGGCAGTATTCAGTAGAGGAGTAGAACCGGGCTGTGATTGGTCCTTCGCCCAGTCCATCTACCGCTTTGTTTGTTTTTGACTGTGGCTCCACTGAGCGCGCTCGCATCTGCCCACTAGCCGCTGCTTCCTTCTGTTGGCGACACGTGCACCAGCCCGAGCCGTCTGTTTGGGGGTAGGAGGGGTGGGGTGGGCAGGGTGGATGACACGTGGTCGTGCTTAATGAACACAACACACAAACACTTGCACACCACAGACACACAAATGCTGCTTCTGCCAGAGCGCGGAGAGGAGAGAGGAGTGGTATGCACACACATTCTCACTTTCTGTTTCTCAGCAGAAAGAGGTCAGCGGTATTGTCTCTCACACTTACACACACGCACTCCTGGTAGCCCCTGTTGTTTTGTCCCTGCTCTTTTGCCCCCCCCCCATCTCTCCCTTTGTTGGCAGTATTTTGCGCTTGCTGACACAGAGACAGTCAGGTAACAACAGGTCTAACACACACACACACATATTCACATTCAGGAGTGGGGAAGCTCCCCTGAAAAACAATAGAATAGAAACCTCAGGCCGCCATATGATTAGCAGGTTGCTGTAATTTGTAGTGGACCAGTGGGCCAAGTCACATTTTCATGTTGTGTCATAATTATTTATGTGTATGATTATTTTAACAATTGCAAAGTGACCCAACAGTCACTATCCCATTAATAAAATTGATTCATTGACTTAAATTTAAAGCTTTATACACCCAACTACTCGTTGTCATGACATGAGAAATGCTTCTCCAGGAACTGCCCCTGTTTAGTTATTCTTACTCTGCTGTTTGCATTTCCTTCCATTGTTGCATCATGTCACTGTTGTATCCTCATGAGCATGGTGCAATTGTTCCCTACTGGGGATTCTACTTTAAATGTGTTGACCCTGAGTAGTGTTCTTATTCATTGCACTGGCCTTGTATTGGCATTTGTGTGCGTATCCATCATGGGAGGGACAAGGGAGGGGGCTGCTTTCATGCTTGACCTGTGCATCAAATCACCACTGGGGCTTTACATACACAGAATTATATACACTCACACAGACACACACGGGGGGGGGGTTGGCACCCTGAGGGGCCAGTGTTTCACTCGTAATGCACGCGCAGTTTGCTGCATGTGAAGAAGAGAGAAATGATAGAACATAAAGCAGGCATTAGTATTATTTTTATATAATATCTTTGATATCAGAAAAAAAAAATGATATAATCAATTTCATACATCAAAGACTTGCTCCATTTAAGGGATTTGTTTATTGAAATCTACCCTGACTAAGGCAAGTATGTATGTCTTAGCATAAGTGGCCCCAGTAGGATATTAAATGAATCCCTCATGGTTGCAGTGTTAGTGCCATGTTTTCTGCAATGAGTTATAAAGACCGAATGTGGAAAGAACTAGTTTTTGGCTGAACTTTAAGCCTCAGTACAGACAGAGCCGAATGTTATAATGACATTTTCCCAATGCGTTCACATTTGTATCGAAACATTCTTTCATATCCATTCATCCATTGTCTTCCATATATGCGTGCCCGGGTTGCGGAGGTTACCAACTAAGTAGAGTATCCCAGATCACCCTCTCCCTAGCCATGCTTTCCAGCTCTTCCTGGGGGATCCCGAGATGTTCCCTGGCCAGATGGGATATATATATAGTCCCACCAAGGAGTTCTGGCTCCTCCTGGTTGGGCGTGCCCAGTAAACCTCCAAGTTTGCCCAGTGCCCAGTTTGCCCTGGAAGTTCGCAGAGATGGGCAAAGCGGGTGTGATGCTATCAAAATGAAACGTCCTGTTACCTTGAATAAAATTGGGGATATTATTTGGGTTTGAACACTTGGAAAAAGTCTCAGTAATGTCAGTACACAAGTCAACAAAACATACAACATAGCTCTCATCATTTTAACACATTTTAATGAAGAATTGTTGCATATTATATGTGTAAGGTTTTTTATAATGGGTAGTATGACTGGTGGTTTATTTCATTTGTTGGCTGTTTCCTTCCCTGAACACAAACTTGAAAATATACAAATAATGATTAGATTTTTATGTGTCGGGCATCTCTGTTTGGGGGAATCTTCCCTCTGTGGCATGTTCAGATATGTGAGTGTGTTCCTCTCAGTTCTCTCATCTCAGTGTGTGTGTCTAACCTCTCCCTTGCTGGTGGCCCGCTGTGAGTGTGAGCAAGTGGAGCGCATGATGAAAGGTTCATGTTGTTGCGGTTGGTGGGAGTGTCTGTCTCTGTTCCAACTTTTCTCTGTGATGGTGGATTAATTGAGGTCTGAGGCAGGTCAACAAATCCTCAGTTTCCACCTATGTTGTTTGTTTCACGTGATGTTTGGCTGTTAACCACAGGAGTTCTTCTTGGCTTGGTGTGCTGTGGTGTTGCTCATTCATCTGTTTTGTTATAGTTACTGCAGCGTGGTTGTGTGTGAACCATTAGCTGAGGGTTTGGTCCATTAAAAGGCTCTGTGCTTTTTTTGTCTCAGAGGTGGTTTCTCTGCTCTTAAGTTTTCTCGGCATGAAAATAGATTTTAATTGACATTTTACACACATACTGAAGAAGAAGTTTATATGAATAATAGGTGAAAGCTTGAAAACTGAACAGTTAATATGGATACAACAATATTAGTCCTATACAGTCAAGTGCCAAGAGAAAATGACCCAGGCCTGACCTGAACCAGAGAGGAATTCTGTTTTTTTGTGTCTTTCTTCGGTTCTTGGGAATTTGTGTTCCTGTATTTGACGTGCATGGTTATTGCTTGTTTAAGAATAGAATAGAAGGGAATAAAAAAGCTTTTTACAAGGACTACAATGAAATTACACGTAATACTTCTGAAAACAACTCAATTACATCTTGAAATGTACTTTTTGACACAGATTTACCGATGTACATTTAATGATGATTTAATGATAGGACTAAGATGCTTTCTAGAAAACTAGTTCAACCTGCAACTGTGAGCCGCTGTTACCCGACTTAGCTGCAGCCTAACTGCATATTCTCCCCCCTCCCCCCATGTCTTCAGTAGTACGTATACTAGAATACCACTTCTTTTTTTCTGTACTGATATTTCCCCTGCTTGCTTTTTTTTTTTGACTGTGAGCCTATAGAAAAGCAGCATGTCTGTGGCTCTTCACAGTCATTTCCTCACATCTCTCCTTCTCGTCTTATGTCCCCCGGTGTCCTCTCAATGTAAACAAACCCAGCTGAGCTCCGAACGCCCTGGCTTCCTCGTCAGGCGACAGCTCCGCCCACAGGATGAGTCAGCGGCCAATTGGCATCCAGCTGGGCTCTCAGCATTGCCATAACGACAGGCAGGCAGGAGAGCTTAGTAGTGAGAGTGCCCTTGTGGCTGAGTGGCTTAGTGACCTTGCCTGGGCATTCGTCCATGTATTGTAAATCAGTAGGGTTAGCTCGCTGCTAGCTCCTCACTCACGGGAGGACATCCGAGTTAAAAACACAATATATCTGTCAGAAAAATAAGTGCATTTTTCATCATGTCTCACTGCACAAATATATATACTGTTTAGAAATGGATAAATCTCTTAGCCAAGAATATAAACTGCCCTTTGATGATGGAGAAATTACTATCAGTGGTGTTTTAGTTTTTTTTAAATGACAGCAGTTTCAAACAATTATTGGTAATTGAATAGCAGGTCAAGTTGGATGCACAAAGTCACAAGCACAGGATTTATTTCTCTTCTAATATCATATTTCTTCATATTTCTTATTTCCCTTATCCTGCATGGATGACTAAGAAAATGCTGAATAGAAACTGTACACGTGCGTTTTACGAGTCTGTTTGTACTGCACACATTCATTGCACTGTATGTTTGAGTTGCCAAAAATGATGCATGTCCACAGTGAGAAATTACATTACTTTTATGTGTGAAAGTCGCCTTGTGTTAGGTGCATACCTGCAAACGCGGCTCCGGACTTTGATCCTGCTACTGTGAATACAGCTGCCTCCCCGGTCCTCTGCTTCCTCTGGCCTATTTACACACCTGCCACACATGCTCGCATATGCAAATTACACTCTCTTGCATAGCTGTTATATATAAATATATACGAACTGCCCACAGATACATGCATGCTCTGCACGACCCGAGATGCTACTGCACCTAAAGCCTCTATCTTGAGCTTGAAGATATATGATATTCACCATGTGGTATCGTACCCCACACACACCTGTTATACTTTTGCATGCGGTGGATAATCTCCTCAACAAATACACGCACTTTGCACACAAGTTGCACACACGCACACACTCCCCCGACGTCACCTGCAGCGCACTTTGCTGTGCACTTACGCACCCGAGAGCAAACACACAGAGTCGGTCAGTCAGTTCTTCCTGTCTGATCAGCTCTGCTGCAGACTGCTACTACTACACCCATTAACAGGGTTGTACAGGTACTGCATTTTGACACACACACACATGTACTATGTAATACCTTCTGCTGCCTATTGATTGTCCACTAGTGTAGCACTTTAATATCAACAAATTTGTATGTGCTACCTGTGCTTTAGTTTGCCACTGGGTGAGTTTGTTTTTGTGGTTGGATCAGGGAGTTGTTTTAACTTGACCTTGGCTTGCACAAACCACACACTATCTGGTATTTTAAGGCAGCAACTGAAAAAAGATGTTTGTGGACACTAGAGTTTTTAATATTTGCTTTTAGTCTGTCTTATCATGACTCTGTGCAGCTGTCCATTTGCACCCAGGTGTAGTTGTGTGTGTTTGTATATGTATATCTTAATCAAATCTATACTGTACTAGTCTAGACCTGATATCGTTTCCTTGTATGCGCCCATATGAAAACTTTTACTTATATACAATTAAGAAAATGCATGTGCATGATAAACTGCTTATTTTCCAAATTCATGTTCTATATGCAGCATTTGGTTGTACCTCTGTATTTCTGTTTTCTTTATTTACAGGTTCTTAAAATCACATTTATATTTAAACTGTAAAATCCTCAGGCCTCAATTTCTTATATCGCCATCATCCCCAAAAATACGTATAGGTTGAACTCTATATCTGCATCTGCTCTTCTTCAAATTTCCTGTCAGCTAGATTGTGCAGATTCTGACACAGCACCTGAAATGAATACTCCATCATTAGCCCAAAACACTCTGGTGCACTGTCTTCTCCACCTCTTCTCTTTTTTACGACGTTCTTCATCCCTCTGTTTCCACACAGGTAGCTGGGGTGTAGTTTCCCTGTGAGACAGACAGAGAAACAGAAAGTCCTGGACCACACCCCCCCTCCCATTCCCTCCCCACCCTGCTCCCACAAAGACATGCATAGCAAAAACCGTAAGTGTGAGCTCCTCTCCTCTCCTCTCTACTTTCTCCCCCACAGCCTTGTGATTACTCCCCTCGACGTTTCTGTTCCGAGTCTGATCTGATCTGATCTGGGTCAGAAGTATTAACAACTGTTGGCTCTAATTTGAACTTCACACGGCAACTCCTTAGCAAAGTTTATCACACAAGGACACTTCAGATGGTGTCGGGGAAGCTGCTAATTAGAGAAAAGGCTTAATTGATTTGTAAATACTACTTTCCCTTTTTATTTGCATTAAAAAAAAAAGTTTTGCAACAAATTTGCTCTATACCGTGTTACAACAAAACTATCTGGCACCTAAGCAGTGTAAAAAAAAAACCCACACTGCTTTACATTTAGAAGAAGAATAGCACTCGAGAGTTTTGATCTCCTAAGTGTATGTGTGTTTTTTTTTTTGTGTGTGGCCTCAAACAACTTTGTCTCCATTACCTGTTTCAGAGAAGCGTCACAGCTCCCCTGTCCCCTCCAGGAGCCCCCTGGTATCCATGAAGCCCAAAGCACCGGCAGTGGCCCCCGCTGTGGCTCCCAGTCCTGGAGACACGCTTCCCTTCAGGGTCCCCAAAGATTACCCTCACTCCCGCTTCAGCAAGGCGCCACTTGCCGTCTATCCACCAAAGGGGGCACGGAACAAGACATGGTGGGTTTTGTTTTTTTACTTTTATGTCATGTGATAAAATACTTCACTCTGCTCCCAAAGCATTTATTTAATCATGCGACCTTTTCATCTTACTCTTCTTTTCTTCTCTTCCTTCTTCTCTACAGCGTATCGCTTCCTGTCGTAACCTTGGAGAAGATGCCCTGCCTCAGCCGTGCCGACTCGGCCTCACATGTGCGCCTCGCCACCTCCTTCTCCTCCCACTCCCCGTCCTCGCTCAAACCCTCCTCCCTCACTCCCTCAGCCTCCCAGCGCTCCAGTGAAAAGCTCACGAATGGTCGAGGCACCGGTGGGACGCCCACGCCACGCTCCACCACGCCCCCATCCTCTCTGGACCGGCGGCCCAGTCCAGCACGCTCGCCACTGGACAAGCGGCCGTCGTCTGCACCCTCTCCCTCCCCGCTGGATCGAAAACCCTCCCCGTCGCCTTTGTTATCGCACAGACCTGTCGCCTTACCATCATCATCAACATCGCTGTCGGATAAGAAGCAACAGAATGGGACTAAGACCCCCCCCAAGTCGCACAAAAGACTTTCAGGTTAGTGCTGATAATTTATGTTTTAATGATTTTGACCCTGCAGGTCTCTCACTAACTCTTTTATTCCACTGACATCCATTTGCAGGAAGAGCTGAATATTCTTCCTTTGCTACTTAAATTCCTTTCATAACCCTTACACAAAAAAAATACACACACTTTCACAAACTCACACATGTACTTTTTGTACTATTTATCCTTATAATCCTTGGAGAGCCTCCAGGCTTAATGTTTGGCTGCAGAGAGGACAGTGGTGGAGTGAGTTTGTTTTTAAGAGGGAGAGACGCCTCGCTATAATTTCACATACGTTTTCTTTATTCTCTTAGTATTCTCCTGACATTTCTGTTTTTCTCCTCTCTGTCCTCTGTTTACTGTCTCGTTCAAACCTCAAAACTCAAATTAAACATCAACTAGTGCAGTGCCTGTTGTTAACCTGCCTGTTTGGAACGGGCTCTTCTCATGGCCTGTGTTATTATTTCGGAGCTATTTCAGAATTGCTCCTTGTCATTAGTGAGTCCTCCTCAAACAGTTCAACAACATACTGTCGCTTTTTATTGTTTGTGTGCAGAGCTTTTATAAACAGTCTATGGAGCAGAGTGAAGTTAGAAATCTTTGTCTTCATCCCGACCTGGATTTTTTGCAATGAAAATTTTGTAATTTCTCAATCACAATCTTCAGACCCAAGTTCAGAACCTTTCAAAATCAAAGCTCTGTGTAAAAGGATATAAAGCTTTACAGCAACAAAACAAACGTCGTGCTGTGACTTTGAAGACAAACTGCTAAACAAGAGGTGATTCTGTGAATGCTGCTGCCATGACACAGATCAGCAACGACAGACATGTTTGTAGAATTAGTAGGTAGATGAGTTAACCTAGTAGTCATCTCAAACTAAGAGATTTTGAAATATGCATTAGAATGAAGCTACATAGATTTGTGATGGACGCTTCAGGGTACGGATGATCCAGCTCTTCCTCTTCCTCCCCTCCTCGTCTTGCCGCTCACACCCGCGTGTCTACTGCGCTCAGAGCGTCTGATTTACACCCTCTTTTTTACGAGCTCCCACTGCCAGCTGCTTGTCTTCTTGAGAGATTTTCCCCACCTCCTGCATCCCTATATTTGATCATCCTCTCACTCTCCACTTCCTGCCACGACCTCCTCCTCTTTCTCTCTGTAACACACTCACATTCTGTCCTGATTCTTTTTTTTCTTCTTTCACACACTGCCATCTCCTCCTCTTCTTTCTGGCTGTCTCTTGCCGCTCATCTTGGTCATGTTTCTCACTCATCATGTCCTTCTCTTTTCTTTCTCATCATCTCTCCCCCCACCAGACTTCAATTGTAAAGTTTGTTTGGGAACGTTTCTTTTACATCTAAGAGCACGTTCATTGCCGTTGTACATTTAATGTGTGTGCCTGCCGCCCTGTGTACGTCGGAGCTGTCCTCTCTTACTGAAAGATTACAGGGATTATAGCAAAGGCCAGCTCAAGATTACAGCCCTGTGACAGCAACACTGTTAAAGATAACCTGCTGAATGGGGGTTGTTGTCGTCCTACTAGTTTGTGTGTCATTTATTTAACAGCGTAGACAATTAACAAATGTTTTGTTTGAAGGATTTAAATTAGATTTGACATTCATCACTTGACCCAGGATGTGAAATTGTTTGCAGGTACTATAAACTTAAATACTACTTTTAAACAAGCGTATTGCTGTATTATACAGTATTTAATTGTGATTTTTATTATTTTAGTAAATGGTTTCGATATAATTTATTTCATGTTTTAATCTTCTCTTACCAGGTTTCTGTGGGGGAAAGAAAAACAAATCTAAAACATCAATGTTCATTTAACGCTACTTCCATCGCACATTAAAATAAAACCTTTTCAGAGAAATAATTTGGTGGCATGCATAGTTTAAAGTTTTTTCTCAACGATATTAGACAATAACACGCTGTAATAAAACTACAAACAAAACCAACACGGGAATGTTAACTGATAATTACAAACACTTCAGTAAGAATTTCTTTGATAGACTCAGCTCTGACTGTAGTCTGTGAGATAACGTGGCATTTCAAGGGTTATTCTCTACTCATCAACTTCACCTTATCTTTAATTATGAGGAGGTGCAAGTACTACTGGGACTGTATATATCAGGATATTTCTTTGTATCTGTCATAATTGCTTAAATTTGATTTACCATGGCCCGACAGTCTTGAATTTAATTTTTAGAAACCCTCAAAAACACAGTTTTGTTTTCTGGCTGTTTTTTTTTCACTGTTTTCTTTCATTAAACCTGCTGAATATTTGTTATAATATTAAGTTTCTGGCTCTGATTAAGTCTGCACAAACTCCTGAAGGTGATGTTTGACTCTGAAAGCTGCTCAATGGTCCACTGTGTGTGTGTGCGTGTGTGTGTACATGGCGGGCGGGGTAAGGCTGCTCGCTGTGTCTGGAAACTATGCTGATTAGAACTTGATTAGGACGGGGGGGGGGGCTGAACAAGCACAGCTAAGTCGCAACGTAGTAAACTTAAGCAATGAGTCAAAAGAAAATGTAATAATATATGTATGATATACTCCATAGAGCTAAGGGGAACTTAAGAGTCTGGAGATAATTTTGTTCCGACACCAAAACGCAGCAGCTTCTGATTTGGTTCTTTCTAAATCCACAGTAAGAGAACATATTACTGCGATTCTTGTATGGAAGTGATGATTGCTGTCATTATTGTATGGCCTGGCTCCGGTTAAACCCTTTAAAAACAAATACATGCAGAAAATGAATGACGAAGAGGTATTTCGGATCAGAGGTATTTCCAATGCTGGTATTTGTGTCGGAACATCTTTGATAATTCTTGGTGGAGACACCTTTCATCCACATGGAGCCACTTGATCCATTTCTTGATAAAAAATACTCATTACAGCCTCTTCACAAATATTCGTGGACATCTGTTGAATTAACTTAATATTCCCCTTTGCAATGTGTGTGTGTGTGTTTTACAGGGAGAGTGTTTGATCCTAACAAGCACTGTGGAGTCCAGGACCCGGAGACGAAACGGCCCTGCACGCGCTCTCTCACCTGCAAGGTAACGCAAACCAACGCACACACGAATACAAGATCATTCACGCCTCCGTGGAGACAATAATAGTCTCCGACCCTTTTTCCTGCTTCCTGCCTCAGGGCCGTCTCACCAGGAAAGCAGCTTTGTTTGTTGAGGATAGTAATAATATTAAGGGGCGCTCTAACATCTGGACTGCAGCTATGACCCTGTCCGCCTCCCTGTCTGTCTCCTGCACGTGTAGAAATAAGTGTAGTATTTCTCCGTTAGGGCTGAAGCATCACAGGGCCTGTATTTCCCTTGATTAGGTAATTATAGATGTTGGCCGAGTCTATAACATCTTCCTTGCTAAATTTTACTGCCCTCTAATTACCTCCAGTAGGCTTCACTAATCACTTCAAAGTGGTTATTAAGTAATTAAAGATGCATCAGATGAGTGTGGGGGTGTTTTTTTTGGAGTAGTCGGTGAGAATAATTTGTACATCTCTACTCTGTGTAATTGTGTGTTTAAATTATTATTGTTCTGTTCTGGTTGTCCCGATAACAACCATGATTTCAAGTTTCTGATTTAGGAAATGACTCAACCCTCGGCCAGTAAAGAGGTGTCATAACTTGCTATCTTTGGGGCATGGACATCTGAGCAATACAGCAAGTATAGCAAATACTTTAATTATTCAGTTTAGGGCAAAGTTAGGATTTTATTCACCCACTTTTTGTCTCCATAAAAATTAACAGTCCCTGCTATCAGAGTTTCACAAAACCTGTAGGTGGAAGGATGGAAAATGGACCAATAAAGAACACTTCAATTTTAGTGCAGATCTGAACTCAAACATTGTGAGATTTTTTTTACATTTTGACCAATATCCCAGGGACTTATTCATGAATCTTGGTGAATATAAACTAGTGCAATTAAATGTGGTTTCATTAGGGGACTTTTGGGTCTTGGCGGATGTATACACTTTAGTGAATGCCATCTTAGTTTACCTTTTAATAATGTTACTATTTTCAGCAACTGGCAAAATCAAACCCTTTTGGACCATTAAGTCCAAAGTGCCGCTGGTGGATTTGAGCAGTCTTAACTGCGCAGTAAAATACACACAGACATGAATATAACAAGAGATGGTTCAGTGGTTGAAGTAGTAGCTTTAATCAAACTTTGGATATAGTTATTTTTAAATATGAGGATGCGTCGCTTCATCGATCGGCTCTGTCAGGAGCTGATTTTGATGATTCTCTCATTTTCTCCTTCAGGGTGGATGTGAGGTGTAGGTTTACTCAGTGGTTTCACAGTAACAGCTGAGTCCTCCATTCAATGCCACTGTTAAGTCAAAAGGAGCAGACTATAATTTGTCAGCACAGATTTTAGTTTGCAGGTGTGGTCTCACTTGCAATATAATATACGTCTTAAAGAGCCCGCCACCCTCAAAAACATTTTTCTTTCCACAAACCATACGACCTGCTTAAACCTGTGATTCCAGCAGCCTCAGATACTCTGTGTAAAACCAAATGTTTGATGACTGGTTACCTTCCAAAGTCGCTGGAAGGGTAGACAAGCTTACCACGCACAGGTAATATTGATTTGTGAAAGCAGAAGCAGAGGCATGAAATCTCTGTTTTTTGTTCCAGACTCACTCCCTAACCCACCGCCGAGCCGTCCCCGGCCGAAGGAAAGACTTCGACTTCCTCCTGGCCGAACACAAGGGGCGGGCAAAGGAGAAGGAGGGAGCGAAAGAGAAGGAGAAAGAAAGAGACGCTGCTCAGGAGAGTCCCAGCAAGCCTCACTGCTCTAACGGACGTCCGCTGTCCACGCTGAAGCTGCGACTGGCTAATGCACACATACCCAGGTAAGACAAACACACACATTCATATTTACAATGAATAGAAACAAAATAAAGCCATAAAAAATCTCCTAAGCAGCTGAATTAAAAACATATCTGTTTAAACAGGCATGATTTATGCACCAGGTTGTTCTCTCAATGCCCTGAACTAGACTCTGTAATATTCTTTTTATTTTGTATGTGTGTGTGTTTGTTTTCTGTTTTTACATTTGTATGGTCTAACTCCTGTTTTAAATTCTTTGACCCCAGTAAAGCGCTTTGCGAGTCCTGTTTGTGAAAAGTGCTAAACAAACACACTTTCCTCACTTACTTTACCACATGCAACTGATCCAAAAGTCTATTCCATCCAACAAAAATGTGTTTTCCCACTGCAACCTGAGTGTGATCCAGACCACCTCTTCAGGTCAGATTACATTGTGGACTAAGGTGCTTTTCACAAGTTATTTCGGTTCAAGATAAACTGAAAAGCCAAAGGTGTGGACAAACAAGGTAAATGTTACAGCACCTCAAGTGTAATTAATTCTGACATTAAAATACAGTTAAAGTCGCAGCAGTGCTGTATATATCTTTAAAAACCATCTGAGATTATTATATATTATATCTAAGAGGTGTGATTTCAAAAACAAAATCAAATGACCCTACTATCTTTTTAACAGTTTTCCATCTGATTGTGTTGTTTTTTTCATAAGGAAAAGCAACATTTACTGGATAAAAATGTGTTTATTTCCCAGAACGTCCCACTGTACGACCGAAACGGATGCACTGTCGGTTCATGTTTGCCTCCACCAGGGGGAGCTGTAAACAAGAGAATGAGGAAGGAGATAGAATTGTAAAAGGATGTCAGAGCTGCTGTTGTCACAGCGTTATGAGAAACTCATTTCCTCTGTTTGAAAAAGGAAGTTATTTGGGGTTTTTGTTGCTGTGACACTTAGAGCCACACTGATTACTGCGCAGATACGACTCCAGCTCTTGTGTTTATCTGTAAAGACTTTTCTGTCATTTTGTCTCTCGTTCTTTCTTTCCCCTCCACTCTGCCCTTTTCTCTTCTTCTCCCTCTCCCACTCTTTTCTTTTAATTTATCCTTCTTTCCCTAATCTCTGTCCTCTCTCCCATCAATCTTTTTCCTCTTTCACTTCCTTTCTATTTACACTCATCTCCCTCCTCTCCTTGACTCTGTCCTTCCCTCTCTTCATCTCCACTTGTCACACCCCTTCGTCTTATTTTCAGTTTTGCTCTGCGCCTCCCTTGCTTTGATTTTCTATCTCACTCATTTCTTTTCCTCTTTACCCCTTTCCCAACACTTCTCTTTGTGTTATTCACCCATCGATCTTTCTAATATATCCACTCCAGGGCTCCAGGCGGCTCCACCACCTCCAGCCCTCTGCCCCCAGCACCGGTCCCCGCCCCAGCCCCTAACGCCGAGCTGTCCCCTTTCAGCTGGGTGACGACAGTGGGAGACGGCGGTCGCCTTTCCAGCGACGAGGGAGAGGCCGACTCTCCAGAGGACGCTGACAGACCTGCCTTTCACTGCTCCAATCACCACCCACGGCCTTTAGGGGTACATACCAAAACCACTAACGGACATATTCATTGTCCAAAACCTCAGGGCATCAAAAATAAAAGTACTGTTAAACCACAGGGTGTGCTTTTAAATGCCATTCAGATGAATTATTTGTGTTTGTGTTCTGCCTCAGCTGAAGCTCTTGTCCAGTGTTTTATTGCAAAAAAAGGTTAGAGCTCAAACACGTAGCTCAAGCTCTTGGTTTCACAATCAGTTCATTTAGATGCTGCCTTTTTGTGGCTGCTCACTGTCCTATGTGTGTATTGGCAAGTTTTCAGTTCAAAAGTCTTTATCTCATTATCTCAGTTTAAAGGGAATGCTCAGTTTTACCTAAGATTTTCACAAGAAGATTTTAGCCGTGTTTGTGGAAGATAATCTTTAATATCTATCTGTAATTGTAAAAAAATGTCTCCTCCTCTGTCACTTGATACCTCTCTCCCCCACGCTTGCATCTGCCCATTATTCCCTCCTCTTTTTCTTCTACATCCTCATCACTTATCGGCCCTTCCCTTCCTCTACTATCCTTCTTTCTACCTCCATCTGACATCCCTCCTTCTCTCCTCCTTTTTATGCTCTCCACGCCTCACCTTCCTCTCTCTCTCTCTCTCTCTCTCTCGCTCGCCATCATCCTCCCACTTCCTGCCACTCTTGCCCCCCTCCTCCCTGCAGTTTTGCGTATTCAGCAGCAGGCTCATGGGACGGGGCCATTACGTGTTCGACAGGCGGTGGGACAGGATGAGGCTGGCGCTCCAGAGCATGGTGGAGAAGCACCTCAACGCACAGATGTGGAGGTGAGTGTCCATAAACATACACGGCGGGCGATCTGGGGTAGAGCTGTTTCATTTTAAAGAACATTTTTCAGAGGTTGCAGTGCATCTCCACCTTATGCACACATGAGTAAGTGTGGGAATGTCTTGCTGTTTTGGGATTCCACACAGAAACACTGATCAAATGGATAAACACATTTTTGAGAGAGTGTGAGATTTGCTGTCAGTATGAGCTGGTGTAAATATGTGAAGAAGCGATGCCTGCACTTTTTTTGAGAGGGAATAGAAAAATATTGATTGCTGGTTAGACGGAAAGTTACATTTTTTTATGTGATGTAAATGTAAAACAAGTAGCCAGTTCATTTAAGGTCAAAATGCAGCAGAGAGAACATCACACATGAAAAATAGAGCAGGATAATGGGCCTATGAGTAAGTATTGATTAGAGAATAATAGATTGGTAAAGTATTTTTTGTATCCTTTTGATAAAATTGTGGAAGGAGCAACCGTGGTTAAAGGTCCTGGATGCAGAAGTGCAAGAAAATCTGTTTGCGGATTTAAACTGAAATATCTGGAAAATTGGGTCTGGACATTTTCTTGAGTTTGCTTTTCACATATGAATGCAACAGGAGGTTGTCCAGGTCAGTCTCACTGTCTTTCCAAGTTGATATCTTCATCGGCGTCTTCTTCGTGTATGACAACTCTTCTTCCAGTTTCCCGTCTGTGTCATGTTAGAAATCTTATGATTTGAGAAGATCTCATGACATTTTCCTGCCAACTTCTCAGAAAATATCCGGAAAAAGTCTGAAGTAGCTCACTCAGACATTTTGCGTTCTCACATACAGCCCCTGGAACATTTCCAAAAAATGAGTGCATGCGTGAAAGCTGCTGTACTCAGTTCCTCAATTTATATAAATAGAAAATGATAGTCCAGTATAACAGTGGATGTCACAAATGTATTGATTTGAAATGTTCCCTTGTGTTGCAGGAAGGTGCCTCTGGCTGCTGACAGCCTCCTCGCCTCCTCTTGTCCCTCCTCGGTCACGTCACAGCAGACCTCCTGTGCCACCTCCCCCTCCAACTCCCCCTCCTACACCGCCACCTTCCCTCAGTCCACAACCACGGCCTCGGGGTTTAGCATCCGAGACGCGGCGGCACAAGCCCACGCCCCCATCTCTTCACCGGGCAAAGCCAGTAACGGCACCCACAAAACCAGCCGCCCATCCAAAGACACGGACACTGACTCCGCAGCAGGATGTAAGAAGAGAAAAAACTCTTCATACTTTTCCTCCTCCCTTTCCTCTCCTTCTTCCTTGATTTTGACTGTGGATAATCACAAGAGGAATGGCAGCAGCTACCATCCGACTTCGCAAGGTTCAGGGGGGGCAGCCGCCTCCCCAGCCAGGAAAAAGGGACTCGGGCGCGGGGGGAGCGGGCTTTGGCGCAGCGGAGATGACTGGCTATCGAGATCTGAAGGGTCTCAAAGCCTCATCTCGCAGAGCAGGTGGGTCACGGTCTGTTTGAATTTCAGACTGTAGAAAATTGATTTTATCTGTTCAAGGTCATAAAGAAATTAATATTGACGAGTTGAGAACTTCGTCTTTCTTTGCAGGATTGAATGACAAGATTTATGCTTTAAAAAATCCCCTTTTTCCAGAAGTTTTTTCACTTGAGAAGATAATGAACACAATCTGATCACTAATCAAGATTATACACAGGACACGCTGGAATATAATGTACTCAAATAAAAAGCCTATTCAGATTTTATCAGTTCGGATTGTAACCATGGTTAATACCAACACAACGTGGGCTCAGCATATGACATAGTGCAGTATGCAGAGAAACTAGTCTATGGGAGAAACAGATGAGAGCGTTGGTTCATTAAAAGTAGAGCAGCGTGTAAACGGAGGGGACAGTGCCAGCAGTGCAAAGGCTGTGATGACAGGTGTTTGGCTTTCACTCTGAAATATACGGCACTGTAAAATCTGCTGTGAGGATTTTATCCACACCTAAATATATCTTAGTGTACAGTGAAGGCTGAGGTGGAGCTTTCTGTGTGTCATCAATTGCATTTTTGTGGTTCTCTCTAGTCACAGTGTTGGCACCACCAGTGTACCCTTCTCATCTGGGGAGCTCGCCTCCACGCCTCATCAGCCCCTGGCTCCCCCCTCTGCACCCCTGGCTTATGCTGGAGGAGTAGAGGGGAGGAAGAGGAGGAGTCCCACTTCTTACAGAGGGAAGGCGAGCAAACTGAGCAAGCCGGGTGGACTTGAGACCCTCTTTGGGAAGGGAAACGACATCGGTGGGATACTGGCGTCAGGGCCAGAATCTCCAAGACAGGTAGATGTTCACCTGCCCTCTTTTCATTTTCCCCGACTGAAAGAATCTGAGACTGCGAATTCCAGTGTGTCTTCTGAACTGAACACCGCTCTGGTGGAGAACAACGTGTGATCTGGTTAAAAATTGCTTTACACGCAGCGAACTCATACTGACAGTTAATAAATCGCTATCCTGCTCTGTCTACAGGCCAAGTTACATCACTGACAGGAACCTGTGTCACGGACAGAATGTTGTGCAGCTGTGGAGGCCACCACCGCTAGTGACCTTTGACCTCGCCACTCTTCCACTGACGCCATCGATCAGACTGCTTCTTCTCGGCGATGTCAAACCCTGTTTACCCAATGACAGTTCAGTTCGGGACTTTGGAATCTTTTGCCTACGGTCGGTCTGGCAGATAACTTCGACTCTCCATTTTCACTATGGAAAGCTGCCGCGCATCACTGTGGTCGTGGTATTTTCAGAACAAGACAGTGGAATCCAAAAAACATTTCCTCTGAAAAGGGAATTTGCCTCACAGCGTTTTTTACGGCATAGTTAATCTTAACACCACTGTACAATCTTTGGGAAAGCATTTAAAAAAACAATCAGTTAATTTTCTGGTTGTTGTGATCATGTTCCCGGTTGCTGTGTTAAGTCAGCGGACAAGGAAAGAGGTCTGTGATTGTTTTTGGGAGTAAGATGGTTGAAGGACCTATTGACACATCCACTGTAGGACTCTGATTTCCGCTATGCCACCCGCCTCCCCCTTCACCCTTTCCTCTGTATTTTCCTCCTTCTCAAAAATGGAGGAGACGGCAGCCGTTTTAATCAGGTTTTACCTTTTCCTTCTCATGCTTCTCTCCATCTTTCAACCTCTCCTTAAACTTTCTGCCCCCTCCTTCCCTATCCATCCCAGCATGCCCGTGTTCAAAGTGCACTTAACTGCTTCCCTCTTCGCTGACTACAGAGCGGTCCCCAGCAGTGCCACACTAGGACCTGTTCTCACAATGGAAGAAAAAACAAAATCTTCTGTGTTACCAACCAAGCTTTGTAATTTTAACATAGGAAGAAATTTAATTTTGAAGATTGTTTTGTTTTTATTCTCAGTTCTACTTCTTTAAATGTTGCAAGAAACACAAACTCCTGTCTGTGTGTCAGGACTTGCACCAAAAAAAGGAATTATTACCACGGTGTTGGATGTTTGTTTTTGTTGGGTTTTTTTGTATATTAATTTATGTACTTAAATGTTTGTTTTCTAAATGACCATCAAGGATTGAGCTGCAGAGATATTTTAAACAAAAAAATTATCTCTGGCATTTTGAAGAAATGTTGAAAGTATTACGTTCATATTGTTGAAAATGTGTACATATCTGTTATTTTTGTATTTATTAATAATTGTCCCCTTTTACTAAATATGAGCTAAAAGAGGGAGTATTTTCCCTCTTGTTCTGTGTTCAATGATGATTAGATTGATCTGGTTTCTCGAAATCTTCAAAGAATTAGCAAGTTTTGAAATTCATCCTAATCAATAGTGCAGAAGACGCCAGATAAGAGCTTTAACTGTGATTTCAATTCATCTCATCTCCTTTTAGCTTTGTTGCCAAGTAACAACAACATGTGGTCAGTCAAATAGATTGTATATAAAGATGGACGTCACGTCTCCTCCTCCTCCCTCTATCCAGAAATGAAGCCAAAATATCCTGGACACGGACGCCGCCATCTTGTGCCTTTGGAGTCAGAGTCTGCGCAGTAGCGATTGAACGACGGAGCCGCAGTATCAAGGTTCTGCCGATACACACGCTCGAACAATTGCAAATCAGTCTTAGCTGTCGATCATTAAGTTTCACCCTGTTTTTATAGCATCAATTGATTAAAACCAAAGTAATCTGAAATATTTAACACTTCATACATTAGTATGACAACAGGTACCTAAAATAATAGAAACCATCTTTAAAAATAATTATTTGACTTGTACTTTTCATTTTTAGTTCGGCCCACGGCTCTGTCTGCTTGCATGAGGAAAGATTTATGACCTATTCTCAAGCCAGCCACCAGGGGGCGATTCATGTCGTCCATCTTTTTATATAGTGAAGTGGACAAACTACAAACTATTTAATTCAGGTAAATTCTAATAACTACCATCATGTTGTCTGACAACAACAATCTGGATTCAATCTCCACTTGTGCAGCTTTCATCCACACCTCGTCTGCCACGTCCCAACTCCATACTAACTGTACACAGTGCACATCACTTCCTAAACATACTTTACTGTTCTTGCTGTGAGTTTGCAAGACATCCACATATTAAGTGTTACATACTAACAGACAAAATACTGTCTCCAAAGATTAAATACTTATTTTTTCTATTTGTTTTTTCTTGAGCTGTTCCGTCACTTCCTGCAATTAATTCACATTATAATCCTCCTCCATCTCCGATGTGCTTTACATTTTCAGCACACTCAAAAAAGTGTAACATGCACACAGTCCTCACTTTTACACCATATACTTAAAAACTTTGTAGAATTAGTGTGTAGGTTGGGATGGCGTTTGTCAGCAGATTGAATCATGGAGAAAGTTGTAGCATGACCAAAGTATTTTCGTCATATGATAACAGGTGGTCGTATATTGTTGATTATTTATTTCACAGGTTAAGAATCACGCTCAGTTATTTTGTGTTTTCATTTAGTGAAACTAACCATTTACACAGAAAACATGTCCAACGTCACAAAATGCTCCGTCAATACGGTCGGTTATTCTATTCATAGACCAGCAACAAAATCGTGCTTGCGCCCAATGTCCAGATCAGGATATTTCCCCCTATTTAGCTCGTTGAAGCAGATTTAAGAATAAAGACAATTTATGTATATGCAACCACCTATAAATGTGAAATGTGGCTGCACCAGATGTGGAAAAGGCCGACAGCCAAGAGTCCCATTTCCCAAAGATAGCAACAGAATGCATTTTCAATTTCAAGACTTAATCATGTTTGGTTCTTCACGTCCTGTAATGTAGATAAGATGGTCCAAAATGTCAGTGGACACTTTTTCTATGCTTCTCTTCAAGTACTTCTTCATATTTCAGTGGATACACGCCAGAACACAATGTGCACCTGATGTACGCAAATGAAAACATTTGGCTTTTGCGAAACCAGGCAGTTTTTAGCATATTTAACCTTAAGGGCCCCACATTCCTGTTTTTTCATATTTCTTTCAAATTTCAAAACAATACTTTTAAATAGTCTTTGACCTTCAAAGGACTAGCAGTTCCTAGAGCAGTTCAGCGACACCGGCTCTGTGGTGTTTATTTTAATGTAGATACACATGTATTATCTGGGTACTCAGTGTTTAATTAACATGCCTACAATGACATGTATTTTTTTCGCTTTTCTCTCTTGAGGCCTGTTACCGCCTGCCGTGCTCACACGTGTTTAAGTTGACAAACTTACGATAAAAGACCAACAGATACACTAGTGCATAAATGGTTCATGTTGCTTTACCAGCTAATAAATCCTTGCTTGATTTTCCAGCTCAGTATATTCTTATCACGAGTATCTACAGATCAAAGATGACGATGATAATCTCTGTGCTAAGATGTTTTTGGGAAACGCCGCCGTGTCTTAGCGTTGATGGTAACGGAAATGAGAAGTTACACTTTGTTGCAGCTAAAATTCAAAATGAATCTCTTGGATGTTTATTTCAGAGCAGTTGTATATTTCCTTTGCTGTTGAATTATATGGAGGTGTTAACAGGTATTTTATAAACCTTCCCCTTTATTTTGTTTTTTTTGCACTTTGTTATAAAGCCCAGATCTCTAAACAACCTATTTATATAAATATTTGAGATATATATTGAAAGAATCTGTATATATTTTTTGAAGTGTTTCTGGCAACTACAGTGAAAGAAGATGAACAGTTTATTCTCGGTGAGTTGGCCCCGAAACCAACCCATTTTTAAATATTTTTTTTGTATCTGATCCTAATTGTGGTGAATGTTAAAATGCCTTTGTATTATTTTGGGGGTTTATTCAGTCTCAGTGCAGTTGGATCAGAAAACAAAATCCCATCAAAACAATTTAACAATTGCTGTAAAAAAAAAAAAAAGTTCTTATATCCAAGCTTTTATTAAATGATTTGAAGTGGATGCTGTGTTATTTGTAAATCAAAGATGCAGCTTTTATATTTCTAAGTGAATCCCACTGCTCATTGTTTTTGTGTATTTCTTTTGTCATTATTACAACTTGCGATTGTCGAAGCAGCTCATCATTTGCGGTGTGACGTGATATTTTTGTACTGCTGGAGTAGAGAAAGCTTTCATGATAGTCAGTGTTCATATTTTGTTACTTTTTGACACATTTCTATGCTTAAATTTTTCCTGATTCATCTGAAACTCGTACATTCATTATTGAAAACTGAACTGTGCTGAGTCCTGTTTGCTTCCAAGCAAAAATTGACTTTTGTTTTGAGTTTTTTCTCATATAGGGGAGGTTCTGGTGATGGTGCTCCAGATTGAAATATCAGCAGCTACTGGATGAGGAGGATCAATCCAACCACTGGTCATCACACTGCTTTTGAAAAAACAAATTTAATAAAATAATAGAATTGAATGAACCCTAATGCTTTGGTGATCCCAGACCTTTGATACAGCGCCACCAGCAGGTAATTTGGTACATGTCAATTTGCACTTGTCATTACCTGCGGTACTATTTTCAACAAGAACAAGAAAGGTTCAAATAGATTTTCTTTATGATACCAACAGCAGATTTATGGTCCAAACATTAGCAATATATTTCTTCTGTCAATCTTCATTTACAGATTTCGCTAAAGCAATTGCACTCTTCTATGCAACTAGATTGAATATTATTTGTTATCTTAACTTGAAAATAACTGAACTAACAAAGTATATACATCCATTCGGATGTATATACTTTGTTAGTTTTAAACAAAGCTTATCTTAATGTTGAGTTTACTCATGTTTTGAAGTAGCAATTGAACTCAAGTTCTTAGTTTGAACCACCTTGATAATTTTATGTTTTAAGCAACGAGCAGATTAAGAAAATAAGATAATAATAACATCTGAGGATAATGGTGTTCCCTGCCTCTCACCCAGTGTCAGCTGGGAACGGCGATGGATTTGCAGACAGCAATGACTGAGGATTGTCTTCTGTTCATCCCTTTGCAAACGCTCTTAGTCACCGCTGTGGAAGACGGCTAATTTGTCCTCAAGACTTGAGTCAAATGTGACTGTTGACCCCCAGAGATAGGTTACAAGAGACTGAGCCAAAAATAAAGAGGTAAATAAATAAAAAATAAATGTGACTATGCAGAGACTGAGAGAAGCAAACAGAGAAGAATTACACCTGCTTTTTGGAATGAGCATGTCCAAATGTTGAAATTATAAAAGTCCCTGTTTTACAAGAAAGATTTTGACATTGTTACAGTCCATGAAATTTCCACTAAAAGTGTTTTTCCCCCAGTATATGGTTCAGATTGTTTTTCTAGGTCTTTGCAAAGAGACTGGTAACATTACACGTCTCACTCAAGGGGAAGTCTCACCCCCAAGTCTTTGTGAAACTTGGGTTATTGCATGAAGACAAAGGAGGAAACGTGAGATTGAGAGAAAGAGTTGGAGAGAGGACTTTGGATTTTACTAAAACTATTATGGCTAAATCCTTTTCTGATGTTGACAGTGTCGATTGAGCATTTTACTTCAAGAGTTGCACCGACTTGTTTGAGCCGGAGTACACAGACCAAGAGCTCCTACAAATTGAAGAGAGGGAGAAGCAACAAGCAGAGGTGGAAACTTCTCTTGTTCCTGTTGTTGCAGTGACCCAATGCCAACAGTGGAAGAACAGCTATGCTGTTTTTTCCACATTTTCGTGGACTGTCGCAGTTGCCCCATAAGATTGTATTTGAGCAACTGCCATCGGAGGCTATTTGCAGGACAGATTCCCAAAAGTATCTGTAAGTAGCATTCATTTACACGCCCACCGGAATTCATCTTTAATATATGGAAGGGAAAATGTCAGGAAGAGGGAAGTGTAGGAAAAGCTCTAACAAACTGCTTTTCCTCACTCTTCACTTCAATGTTTGCATTTGAGCCTGGACTTCGACAGAGTTCTCTCACAAAATGAGCCGCCACATTATTATTTCATGATCGCTGTTACTCTCAGCGCTCTTAAGATCTCGCTCATATAAGCAAACAGGGTTTTTCTTTAACAAAAAGGAAATGAACGATCGAGCCCAAAACGCACTGTGTATTGTATTCTGTCTCTTTTATGTTGGGCAGCGCAGTGGATATAGTTGTGATTCAGTTTAATATCAAGGTTAGCATTTTTGTAAGAGCATATCTCGCTAAGTAAGGGGGGTAAAAACTGAGAGTGTGCATAAATCTGTTTTTCAGGAAAACCACTGTAGAGATTTGAGCATTTCAGGGGGTGAGTACAAAAAAATTACAAATGATTATTGTTAGTTTTCTAATCATGATGGGAGCTCACGCTCCCTAGGCTGAAACCTTGCGTGTAAGGTCTGTAAACTGAAAGCACTGAAGCAATGACTGCAAGCACATGTCCATTACCATCTATTACCGCTCCCCACACAAATCACTATGCGTCCAATTAGATTTATTTGAGCAGGACATCCCAGCAGGACGTTTCCTACCCACCACTCTCTCCTCCATGCTTTTTCATGGATGGAGGGAAACGACACAGACGAGTGAAATATGTCCCCCACAACATTGACACCTTGTGGCCAGGCTACCGCTCCACACAAGGCCAAAATGTCATCATCCGCATATTAGATCAGCAGCAGCACTCAGGAAGACGTTCAGTGCCGAACAAATAACCTCAGAAGTAATGAACTCCTCTCATTGAATCTGTTATTTATTCAGACGCTCCTGCTGAGGATGAACAATTAATTCACAGGTTGTCCTCTGAATTCAGAATTAGTGCAGTTTCCATTGATGTCGAGATGTGAGGAGGCCAACTGTGGTAAAGAAAAGGTCAAATATTTCATAAAAGATGTTTGCATTTGATTAGTGAGAAATCAGATTTTCATATTGTTTCACATTCATCAGTAATAATATTTTCCTTTATTGACAAATCTAATTGGAGGAAAGACGGATTTTATCAGTCTATTCTTCACCCTGTTCGTCTCTTCATCTCACTGGAATCCAGTTTCACCGCTCCCTCCATTCAAGTGCCACTTGTAGCTCGGCATCATAAACAGCCTATTTAAAATGACCAGCGTAAACAAATGATTTGCCAACAGAAAAGTGTCCAAACATGTCACTGTGCGCCGCGATAAACGCAGCCTGCATGTAACCGAGAAGATAAAAGCTCTCAGCTCTATTCGGGCCGCGGCCATGAATGCCGAGGAGTTTCTCCCCCCATTGCAAACAGCATTCTTATGATAATGGAATAATGCTGGTGCTTTAGTTAATTGTGTAAAGGCGATAGTGGTGGGCACCTTTTGTTGGGGGCTCTCGTGAGTTTAAAGGAAGGAGCTGGCAGGGATTATAAATTCCCCCCCAACAACTGAACTTTATACCCACTTTGCATTGAGTGAGTTGAGTGTCTTTCTTGATTTGATGTTTTAAGATTTCTGTGCTTTGTATAGAGCATTTTTGAGACGAGATAACTAAAATGTTGCCTAACCTGTTGACTAAATAAGAAAGTTCTTGATGAATATCTTAAGAAGCTGCTGAAGGATGTGTCATAACAGGTGTCGCACAACAGTTTATTCACAAATTAAAATGGAATCCTGTGCTGGATAAAGGAGAACAGCAGCTCAGTTTAAGCTGGACTTATCTTAACTATACTCTTGAGGCAAACTCTGACGGGGGATATTTACTGGCTTCACATTCTGCACTTCAGGGCACTCAGCTGATCTCACTGCAGGTAGGGTTTGATTGCCTTGCTCATGGGCTAGTAAGACAGAACTTGTGATGGGCTCGTCTTACAGCTGCCATGAAACACTATTAAGTAGAATGGCACTCAGTGGAGCGTATACCTCCACTGAGGCCCTGCAGTCCCCTTAAATTCAATCAAGATGCAGCAAATTCCAGTTTCAGATTTAGAAAACTTTATTAATCCCAGAGGGGCAATTCGTTACACCGTCTAACCCATTCATGTAAATGCAATGAAAAAGAGTAAATAGATTTGTAGCCACAATCAGACATCAACATCCAAATGACCAGTGCACAAATCAACAACTTGAAGTGTTTAGAAGAAGGAATGAAGGAATCAGAGCAACAATTTGTTTTACGAGGTGCAACATAATAGCTCTCGCTAAGACAGAAACTTCCCCCAAGAGTACATGATTATGACAGCTAATGTTTTCTGGACCACCCGATTCTTCCAGAGGGAGCACAGGTCTTTTTGCTGGATGCCAATGATCTTAAAGCAGATCTTAGCAATAGAATTTAACAGTGTTTGACCTGAAAACGATAAAGGACTTTTGATAGAAGACAGATATGTCCATTTGCAGCTTTTCTCCAGGTATGATTCTGGCTTTAGGTTTGACGCTGTACTTCTGAAATGTCACACACTTGTAAATATCAGTCTCTGAGTACTTTAATCAAGGTCCATGAATTATTCTCTGAGAAAACAAGTAAAATGTTTTTTAAAAAAACTCCTTATCTTGCAATGTTGAAGAAAGTGGAAAAGATCCTCAGTCCGCCCCCTGATCCGGATCCGCACCAAAATTCAATGGCTTCTTTTCTTACTCGTCCTCCACACCTCTACAAAATTTCATAGAAATCTGTTGAGTAGTTTTCTGTATAATCCTGCTAACTAACAAACACCAAAACAAAACCTCCTTGGCGGAAGCCCACAACCTTGAGTTTCCAAAACTAACAGTAAAACAGAAAATACAGAAGTATAACAATGAGGTGATGAATTTCAGATACACCATAAAAGGTATATCATTGGTTAAATGTTGTTATTTCTTGAGGACAACTTGCATTATTGTTTGGGAAATTTGGTTTCAGGCCACCAAAACTGGAAACAAGTGTTGCTTTTGTACCACACTGTGAAGCTTCTGTTATACTAAATGCCTAAAAGTGTTGTATTAGATTTCAGAGTAGAAGTCTATTAAGTATTACTTAACTTAGTTAAACTTATTTGTTATTTATAACTATACTTAAAAGTGAACCTCTGTGTATTATAGAACCTCACTAGTGCCCATTTATGTAATTATTATCCATAACTGACTTGTATTTCTCCTCAATGTCTTCATATGCTTAATAGTTGTGTAAAATATTATTTGAGTGTGGGCGTCACCCCATTAGAGTAGATGTCATGTTGGAGAAAAATGCTTTGCACTGATGTACAGTGTTGATGCACTTATAAGGTTTCATAATTTTTTTAAATACAGTCTTTGATTTTTATTAGAAGCTCCACATTCTACCCTTACCAAAAAAAACCTTTTACTTCACGACTGCAAACCCATCTTTCTCGATTTTCTTCCCAGAATTCACCACAAGTATAACCCGTTTCTCTGAAGCGCCATGTTCTCACCAATAACACATGTTCTCCAGATAAGATAAGATAAGATTAGATAAACTTTATTATCATGAAGAAGATGATTATGTCAGCTTGCTCCAAGATCACAGTAACAGTACAACATGCAGTCGAGTACAATAAAGTAAAATAGACTGGGACGTAAAAGTTTATTACTGACAATAAAATATAATCCTCACCTGCACCATCCTGCACTTACCTGTTCAAAGCCAACTGACCAGGGTTGCCATATCTGCAGTTTACACACCGAACCGTGCCACTTTTGTCGAGTGTGCGTTTGTTGAATTTTCTTACATGCTCTGATTTTACATAGAAATTGAAGACGTGAATCATGTTTTAAAATAAAAATCCATATTTTAACAATATTATTTATGAATACACTGATCATACCGAACCAGATTTCAGATCACAAACCTGGCAACCCTGCAGGTGGCACCAATTAGCTTAACTACCCTGATAGCAATAATATGGCTAAAGTAAATTAGCCTCATGTTTAATTCACATATTGAATCACTGCTCTGCTTGTTTGTTAAGTTTTATTTATTTGACATGAATTAGATTTCAATGACTTCCAGCTGAACTGATGAATTCTCTATTCTGGAAACAAGGTAAGGGTTAGCATGAAGAGCTTGTTTTAGCAGCTTTACTGTAGTTGTTTGATTCATAAATCATATCTGTAAATTCGTATCTTTTTAAAAACACAATGGAGCTAAAGCTAAACTGTTGTACCACCTCTCTTTGTGGAGAAATAAGAATGCTAACCCAGCTGTTTTGTGTTTGCAGCAGTTGCTGACCGAGGACTCTGCAGGTAAGCTAATTAGCTTTGGAGAGAAATGGCAAAAAATTTAAAAGAATATTTCCACAACTGTAATTTGTTTAAGCAGAAGATCTTAAAATATTACTAAATTCATTGGGTGGTAGTTTTGATAAGTTGTAAACTATTTTTACGCTTAAAAAAAAAGTTAAAGTGAAGCTAAACACTTGATGTGAATTATAAAGCTAACATCCTCTCTGCTAATGCTAAATTGACTTACACTGTTGACATTAGCATAAAGTCCACTTTGTAAATAAGACTTGATTAGATGTTTGTTTTGAACAGTTGTTTCCTGCAGTTGTGTGTGCTCACACTGTGACTTGATGAAGATATAACCACGAACAAATAGTAAATTACAATTGATGCTATTCTCAGTGTTTGGTCAGTTTGACTCAGTGGCACCTGTGTGTGCTCCAGATGTTTGGAAACGAGACTGAAACCTCTGGGGTCAGTGTTAATGGAGACGATGAATCCATCATCACGTGTAACCAGAGTTAAGTGAAGGGTTCTCGGTGGATTCACAGTTAAATGAAGGGGAAGCCATCACCATTCATTTCCATGCTCTCACTGGCACATGGGCAGGAAGTCATGTTTGACATGTTGCACATAATAAACCTGTTCCTTAGTACTGTTATAAGAAAATAAAACGTCTCAGATAATAGTTGATCATGCTTGTAAACCCTCTTTTATTATAGCCATATATTATAGATACAATACGTTTTTTATCTTTAATCAATAAAAGCCATCCATTGTTGACGCATGTCTGGCTTTAACTTATGGCTGAGTCTTTTAATAGTGACTCTGGTGGATGAGTATTTTATTAACGTGTTGGTGAAAAGTATTTTGAGCGTGGCGTTAAGTTTTGGGAAGGTGTAACCACCCCCTGGCTTTATTTGGCGTTTGCGTCGTGGACACTCGGTGGAGAGCTGTGTGCACCGCTGCGCGTTTTGGGTCAAAATCGTCGCTTTAATCGCAGCATTTGATTCAAAGTTTAAAAAATATACAACTTTTCTTTGTCGAACGAGGTCGATTCGTTTCGTTTTGTCGCATTGTCGCGCTAAATCGTCCGTATTTCCCGTTGGAATTGGACGTAGAGGGTGCACCTTTGCGCAGAGACCGGTTTAATGCTGAGAGGCTCCTCTGGGTGCACAAAGACAGCGGCTCGCAGAGGAACTTGTTCAGAGTGAACCGGGGACGCTGGGAGGCGAAATAAACAAGCTCCGGACCAGAAGTAGCCGCCGCCGCGCAGTTCTACCCCCGTAAACACACGATCCATCCACTCGTCAACGATACACAAGGTAAGGACTTGTTTTTGATGCGTTTTGGTGAGGCTGGAGCGCTGCGGAGCGGACTAAACCACCTTCGCTTTGGCTTGCCGAGCATGGTTGTTTTTGCAGAAAATGGCGTCATCGCCCTCTTGTTTCTGCTTGGCCGCGGCGGGGAGAGGAACACTTTCCGAGACTTGTAGCAGCCTCTACGTGTGGCGTGCACACCCTGAAAGATCAAATCTGTTACTCAGATGTGTTTTATTCAACAGTTAATCGCCAAATGTCAGATAGCGCACGATTTCGCTCGGTAGAAGGACGCGCAAAGATGGAAGGGTCACCGGTCCTGTGCGCCAAGCTGCTTCTTGGAAAAGGTGGCACGGAGCCGCAAAACGCAGCGTTTTACATCCATAATAATGCCATCCTCTGCGGCTTTAGGCTAATCCAAATGACCGAGGATGGTTTAGTGTTATTACCAGAGTGGTGATGGACGTATTTATGGGAGTGCTGCACCTTGTCTTTGTGTGTATTTTATTCGGGTTTGCTCGTTTTTACGCCGCACTCCCCTTCCATGCTGCAATCGTTATGAGGGGCCTCTCTTTCACGGCGTGAAAGGTGCATTTTATACTTGGCTTTTTTTCCTTTGATCAAGTTAAGCTGGCCCTTTGTTGCCCAAAATAGTGGCGTTTTTAGGCTGACAATATAACCGTGTAAAAAGAGATTTTCGGGGATAATGGGGGCGATGCAAATCGTGCCATGAGAACGGCGACTGCCCTGCGCTCTGGTTCGCTGCTTGCCAGACGAGGACAGGCTGAATGAGATAGAAAAATAAAAGTCTTTTGGACGAATCACATAGTTTGCACAAAACTGGGGAAGTCCGGCGCTGCGCAATGATTGTGCTGCTGCTTTGCGCAGGGAGCACAGTGGCAGCTGCTGTAACCGCCGCCACCATTTCGCCGCGATATTTTTTGTGTGTGTTGGCCAACCTTTTGTAAATAGTTGGGGAGTCTTGGATAAAAGAGCACAATAGTATTCATGCGGGCCCTTTATGGCCTGTGAATGCGGTCTTAAGTCCCCACTCTGGCTGTCCTGTCTTTCCCCGTCAGCTACGTGCATGCGTCCTAGCACTGGCCACCACACATCCACCACAGCGAGGCCACTCCGCTCCGAGTGCAGTACGCTCCGCTTGGTTCTTCCTGTGTCCAAAAGTCGAGAAGCGATCGTGCGCTAGGTGTCACGGTGCAGGCCATCACGATCAAATCGAAACAACAAGGAAACATCAGCCCACGGAGACGGCACATAGCTCGCTCCTTGCACATTTTCATTAAGTTTCCTGAGTTATGCAATCGCATCCCCGTAGAGCAAACTGCTTATCCGCCTTTATTTACCCGTCACCCCCCATCGCATGGATAAATCTGTGTGTAATATCTGAATTGGACCGGTCCCCGCGGCGGAGGCACGGAATTGGGAAGATGTGTCATTTGCAAATCACCCAGTGCCATTTGCGTCACAGCCCGCGGCCTCGCACGCCCATGGGGGGCGATGGAGTTGCAAATGGAGACTGTGTGTGTGTATGTGTGTGTGTGTGCTGACGCTGCCCCAGCTGAAAGGGAACCAATAGACACGGACTCCGGGCGGCAACAATCGCCGTGCGCCTCCACTCTCCAGCAGTGCACCGACTTGGGATTGTGTGTGAACGCGGAAGACCGCGCAGCTCGTTCGGGATGGTGTGTTTCCATCACACTGCCTGGGATGCGTAAGTGGACGCGGACACACTCTGGTTAGACCTGGGCTCGACAGGCCAGTCGGAGAGGAGCACCACTCCGTCCCTCATGGTGCTCGGTCCATGTGGCTATTGTGGAGTCGCTCATGTGTGGATAACTGTCTCTCGGCCGGACTGTGACGATAGGACCGTAAAGCTTTTATGAACAGCGCAGAGAATAAGGCTGGATTATGATTCGGACACGGGATAAAAACACGTCGTGTTTGTTTCGCCCGCAGCGCGCCACGCGTTTGTGGTTTGGAGATAAGCAGGGCGTTTTTATCCAGGAACGTCTTGTTTGTTGCTGTTGCGCTTTTGGGCACTGCGCATGGTTTCATTTCACCCAGGAGAGTCACTCACACACCTCTAACAAACAGGCAGAAAGTCCTGAAAATCACATAATAATATAACGTGTAGATTATGTTATTATGCTGAATATATATATACATGTATGGAGACAATATGGGGATATATGTCCACTTTCTGTACTTTGTTAAAAGATGATGTGAAATCAATCAACCAGGTAGTGAATTGGAGGCAGGTATCCTTATGGCTGAGATTAAAAAAGACACAAAACTAGTCAAGCTGTAGAGATTCCTCCCTGCACCTTGACACACATTCCCTAAGGTAGCGATTCAACCCAGATGGCAGCAGGTAGCCTGCAGCTATGGACTATTATTTAATTATTTAGAATTTAAGGTTTTCAAATTACTGCACAGCCACGTGCCGCTTTGAACCCACACTTGGCTGTTATTTTTAGTCTGTGATTGAGTGATAGGAAACTTTACAGAAACAGAACCTAACCTGAACAGATCAGCCCACCAACATCCACCTGACTAACTCAGAACATGACTGACTTTGACAGAGTGGAGATGGTCAGTCTAACCTTGAGGAGGACATTGAACAGAAAACTAGGACATGGGTGTAGATAATAAAAAGTGGGTTATAAGGAACTAAAAATGCCATAAAAAGATGGGTCTGAAGTTTACATATTTGTCCTGCAAATAGTTTGTACTTGCTCCTTCTTGAATTGTATGTGTTTTCCATCTATTTTCATTCAACCCTCTTACAAGTCTTTTGCTTGCTGGCTGTTATCTCGGAGATTAGTCTTTCCTTATTAGAACAGCACCTTTGATTCTTCCTGGCTCTCTACCTTGATTAAGTTTCCCAGTCGTCATTGGTTTTTACCAGAGCGGATGCCGACTGCAACCGTTTAATGATGTCAGTGTGTGATTCAGTCACTGTAATGATGTATGGTTGTGTTCAGTCACTGAGTCAGCTCATCGGACCAATGTGCAAGTTAACTCCGTCAACAAACCCATTAACCCGCCTGTCACATAACTAGTTAGGCAAACAAACAGGGAGGCGACCAGGGAAATCAGTGTGAGTAGGTCGGTCAACTAGTGATGCTGAAGTGTGTGACCTGCAAACCAGGAAGAGAACAGTTGCCATCACTTGATACAGGACATACATTTCTCTACAGTTTTAGAAACTTGTTTTTCATGAACATAGGCTGCATTTCACCACCTCGCCTGAAAATGCCCACACATCTCTCCGGATATCAATTTGGTCTGTTTTAAATCAACACTATTTAATGCACTATGGATAATTTCTTTTCATATCTGATCTTTTTAAGTATCAGTGCTACTTTTGCCAAATCCATCTTTTGTGTAGCTGCTGTCCCACCACTTAATGTGTCCAGATTTGATTGCTTGATGAATGTTATCACAAAGAAACAAGTGAAGCTTATTGCAGCTTTTAAAACAGTATATTTATTTCAGCCCTGTGAACTTTGTAGAGCAATGCATGCTAGACAAAGACTGAAATGTTGCTGTTAAGGGGACTGAACACTATTTCTGTAGTTTGGGGTGTGTGTGTTTGGACAACTCTATTGTATGTGGGCTCTTGCACACCTCAGGTATTTTCCCATTTGCAAAGAAATCCCTGCAGAGAATAATTTGTTGGTACAGTGTGTAATGTTTGGGAGTTTCCTGATTTAGTTGTAAGATATTTCTACACTTTCAACAACTGGTGTTTATGAGGATGTTACATTCACCTTTACAAAGATCATATTTTATGTATTTTAATGTAGTGTCCCTTCTTGCTGCCTTTACTTTTCTTAATGCCCCCCCCCCCTTTTTAATTTACACCAAATTTATTTTTACAGCTGTCAAATCCATCAGTCCGCTAAACTAAGCATGTTTAAGTTTTTCAAGTGTTGTTTGAAATTCGTGTGCAGTTCACACAAGTCAGGACGCCAGACGTCACTCCCGTTACACTCGTGCAAGGCTAAATTTTTTTCTTTTGATGACTGCATTGCATCACATCTTCATCTTTCTCTCATATAAACTCACACAAGCTTTAAACATGAAGTTTAATGTTGTTTCTGAAACACTTTTCATTGTATTTGTTGAATCCTGTTCACATCCTGATAAAGAAAAAGAAAAAAAGTGTCTGTGCCCCTCGCAGGGCCGAATTAAATGATTGGAGGTCTTCAGCCAGGGAGTCTGAAGTAGAGACGAAAGCCAGAAGTTAGCGAGGAAGTCACAAAAAAGTCAGCTTCTAGCAGTTGTCGAGGGGGAGTCACTCTGACAAAAGGGCCGACAGGAGGAGGTGGGATGTATCAGTTGCATATTTTCAAAGTGTAGCCTGCTCTTACTATATTTTCCAGGATTATCAACTCTAGCTTTAAGTTACGTGGTTTTAAACTTATATCATCTATTTTTTATTTAAACTACAGAGCCTTAGTTAAATTTGCCTTCATTAGAAGCTGACAGAGTACAATGGGAAAATGAGCTCAATTTCCAGCATGAGGAGCTCTAATACGAAAGCAGTAAAAAAATCAGAGCAACAGAACACGGCCTCCATCATTGAGAAATACTGTGTGGAAGATGGACAGAAAATAGAACTGGGGAACTCTGTCAGTAGGCCACATCATTGTTCCCACCCTCTCATGTGGTCAGGTGGCATCACTGGTTTGTCTGCTGGCAGTCAGCATTATGTCAGAATGTGGAGTCCCTCCATTAGCAGGAAGTCCTGTCAGACCGCGTTTGTACGGCCACTGGGAATAACTGCGAGGAGTCAGGAACTGCTGCTAAACATTTGTTGGCTCTAGAGCCATGCAAACATTTTAACATATGCATACAGAAATATGCTGTATATGCATATATGTCTGCACTCTAACACGGTGATAAAGAAGCTAATGTTTTTTTTATTCATGCAGCAAATATGTTGAGGTTTCACAGAAATGAAAGTTCAGCTCTCCTGACAT